GGCCTCGGCTGGTACAGAGATTTGGGCCGCAGCCTGGCCTGGGTGAGCGGGGCCACACGGGGAAGGGATCCCAGATCCCCCAACCCCCCCAGTCCTGCACCCCGACACCCTCCTGCCTGCAGCAGGGGCTGTGACCCACTGGGGGGTTGCTGGAGCAGGGGCACGCACAGTGACTGGCTCCGTCCCAAAGGATGTCACTGGAGGGGACTGGTCAGCCTGGCCCCAGGGGGTGGTGACAGCCCACACTCACACCCTTGCGCAAGGCGCTGGGGACACCCGGTGCCTGGTGGCTGGCCTGGGGACAGTCCCCTGCCAGGAGGTGACCGGTGATCCCAGCTGCACGTGGCAGCAGGGACAGGGCACGGCCTGACCCTTCCCTGGGAACGTCCCAGTCTTGGCCGAGGGGTTTTTGGGGTGACAAGGAGGGCACAAACCTCCAGCCTTGGGTTTTTGGGGGAGGAATCAGGAACCCCTTTGCCAACTGTCCCTCTTGTCCCCGCAGTTCCGGGAGAAGCTGCAGGACGTGCTGCCCTCCCTGCCCGCTCAGGACGACTATTTCCTGCTGAAATGGCTCCGAGGTAAGCCCAAAGTGTGGGGCATCCCTAGGAGGGTTGGGAGACCTACAGGGGGCTGTTGGGGGGCTGGTCTCTGAGCTCTCTGCTCTCTTGCAGCGCGCTGCTTCGACCTGCCCAAGGCAGAGGCGATGCTCCGCAAGGTGAGAGAGGCACCCCGCTTTTGGGGCGTCCTCAGGCTGTCCCCTGGCACGGGACATAGCCAGCATGGGACAGTGCACCCCGGGCCATCAGCCCAGCCCCTCTCTCCCAGGGTGACATGCCCATGGGGTGCACCCTGTCCCATGGGGTCCACAAACCTCACTCCCGCTCACTCTACCCCCTCCCAGCACCTCGAGGTCCGCAAGCGCATGGATGCCGACAACATCATCGCCTGGGAGGCACCTGAGGTGGGTGTCCCCAGCCCCCAGGGGTGGCCCTGGAGGGGACTGTCCCCCTGAGCCCCCCCAGGCGTGTGCAGTGCCCTGAGCCCCCCGTGCTCCCGCAGGTGATCCGCAAGTACATGTCCGGGGGGCTGTGCGGCTACGACCGCGAGGGCAGCCCGGTGTGGTACGAGATCATCGGGCCACTGGACGCCAAGGGGCTGCTGTTCTCCGCCTCCAAGCAGGACCTGCTCAAGAACAAGTTCCGGGACTGCGAGGTGCTGCGGCACGAGTGCGAGCAGCAGACCCAAAAGGTGGGCACCTGCCCACACCCTGCTGGCCACAAAGGCCCCTGTGCCCACCAGCCCCTCGGGACCATGGCCCTGCCAGCCCCGCTAGTCCACATCTGGTCCGTCCCTCCCAGCCAGCACCCTCCCCAGCACTACAGGTCCATGTCCAATCCCCCAGCCTGTGGCCCTGGCAGACCCCTAAGTCCACGTCTGGTCATCCCTACCCCCCAGTAACCTCCCCAGCCCCATTTGTCCATCTCTGGTCCATCCCCATCAGCCATCGTCCTCCCCAGCCTCACAAGTCCATGTCCTGTCCATTTCCACCACCCAGTGTCCTCCCCAGACCCATACATCCATCTCTGGTCCATCCCTAACAGCCAATGTCCTCAGCTGCCAGCCCTATAAGTCCATGTCCTGTCCATACCCATCAGTCCATATCCCTGCCAGCCCCACAAGTCTGTGTTCTGTCCATCTCCCCCATCCAATGTCCTCCCTAGCCCTATAGGGGGCTAGAGATCCTATAGATCCTATAGATCCAGGATCCTCTGTCCATTCCTCTCAGTTCATGTTCCTGCCAGCCTCACAAGTCGACATCTGGGCCATCACCATCACCCAATGTCCTCCCCAGATCCACATGTCCATCTCTGGTCCATCCCTACCACCCAGTGTTCTTCACAGCCCTATATATCCTGTATGTCCATGTCCTGTCCATCCCCCTCAGCCTGTGTCCCTGCCAGCCCATGTCCTGTCCATCTCCACCACTCAGTGTCCTCCACAGCTCCACAAGTTCACATCCTGTCCAACCCTTCCAGCCACTATCCTCCACAGCCCTATAGGTCCTGTGGGTCCATGTCCATCCCCAAAACCCAATGTCCTTATGCATCTATCTCTGGTCCATCCCTACCAGTCAATGTCCTCACTCATCAGCCCTGTAGGTCATTCCATCCCCCTTGGCCCCACAAGTCCATGTCCTGTCCACCCCACCATGGACCATGTCCCTGCCAACCTCATATGTCCATCTCTGGTCCATGCCCACAACCCAATGTCCTTCCCAGCCCCATATGTCCATGTCCTATCCATCCCCACCAGCTCCTGACTCCCAGCCCATGTCTCATGTCCCAGTCCCAGTTGGGACCCCCAGCTCCCGTGATGCCCTTTCTCCACACACCAACACTTGGGAGGAGGCTCTGGCTGGAGGGGACCAGCCTGTCAGGGACCACCCCCTCCCTGAACCCCCTTGCCTAATCCCCCCCATCCTCCTGCCCCAGCTGGGCAAGAAGGTGGAGATGGTGATGATGATCTACGACTGCGAGGGCCTGGGCCTGAAGCACCTCTGGAAACCGGCTGTGGAGGCGTACGGGGAGGTGAGGGGCTCCTGCCCATCCCACTGCCCCGGGGGACCACAGGGATCCAGGCTGAACCCTGGCCCTGGGGATGATGCAGGAGCAGGTCCCTGCAGTGCTCTGCAGCCCCCAACATTTTGGGCTGGGGGTCCTGGTGGCTCCATGGGATGGGTGACCTGAGCTCCCCCCATCCTGCAGCTCCTGTCCATGTTCGAGGAGAACTTCCCGGAGTCCCTCAAGCGCCTGTTTATTGTGAAGGGTGAGTTCAGCCTCAGGGCCCTGCTTTCCCCCTGTCTGGGTGCTGACAACCCCCTAACACCCCTCACTGCCCTCTAGCCCCCAAGATCTTCCCCGTGGCCTACAACCTGGTCAAGCACTTCCTGAGCGAGGACACGCGCAAGAAGGTCGTGGTGCTGGGATGTGAGTCCTGACCCTCCCCGGAGTGTCCAAAACAGGGGTGACACTGCTGTTATCTCACCCACGGGGATGCCCCAACCCCGGGGGGCCCCCCAACTGGGCTGGGGCTCACAGCCCCCCCAAACCCACTGTCACCCCCCAGCCAACTGGAAGGAGATCCTGCAGAAGTACATCGACCCTGATCAGATCCCGGTGGAGTACGGGGGCACCATGACGGACCCTGACGGGGACCCCAAGTGCTCCAGCAAGGTAGGAGAGGCTCCCGCTGGATTACTTAGGGCTGCCAGGTGGTTCCCCCATGCCCACATCCTCCCTCCCCTGCCAGATCAACTACGGGGGCGACGTGCCGCAGAGCTACTACGTGCGGGACCAGCTGGCGCAGCAGTACGAGCACTCGGTGGTGGTCAACCGGGGGTCGTCCCACCAGGTGGAGTACGAGATCCTCTTCCCCGGCTGCGTGCTCAGGTGAGCGGGGCTCCGCGCCGCGGGGCGGGGAGGGGGCGACAGCCCGCGGTGCCCCCAGCCCACCGCAGGTCCCCCCGTGCCCGGCGCAGGTGGCAGTTCCGCTCGGAGGGCGCCGACGTGGGTTTCGGGGTGTACATGAAGACCAAGATCGGGGAGCGGCAGCGGGCGGGCGACATGACCGAGGTGCTCCCCAACCAGCGCTACAACGCCCACATGGTGCCTGAGGACGGCTCCCTCACCTGCTCCACGCCCGGCATCTGTGAGTGACCCCTTGCCCCGGGGGGCTCCTCCCGTGTCCCTGACCCTCGGGGGTGCTTCCCCTGTGTCCCTGACCCCCGGGGTGCTGGGGCGATTCCTGAGGTGCTCCCCCCTTATCCCTGATCCCCGGGGTGTTCGCTCCATGTCCCTGACCCCCGGGGTGTTCGCCCCATGTCCCTAAGGCCCCGTCCCGTCCCTCCCGCAGACGTGCTGCGGTTCGACAACACGTACAGCTTCCTCCACTCCAAGAAGGTGAGCTACACCGTGGAGGTGCTGCTGCCCGACACCGCCTCGGCACAGCAGATCCAGCAGCTGGGGGACCGGCTGGGCGAGGTGTCCCTGAACCACAGCCCGTAGAGCCCCCCACCGGGCCCCCAGGATGGCCGGGAGCCTCCTCGGAGGAGGACGGAGCCGGGGCTGAGCCCGGGAGCTGACGGACTGAGGCGGGGGCTGAGCGGGACCGGAGAGGGCCTAGTGCCCGCAGCCCCCCCATCTCTGTGCCTTATGTGGGTCCTGTGCCCACTTAGTGTTGCTGCTGCCTGGGGTGGGGAGTAAAGGGAAGGACTGAGTGGGGTCTGCTCCGGTTTGTGGCCCTCGGGCCCAAAACTGCCGCCCCAGCCCCAAATCTGCCACTCCAGCCTCACAACTGCCCCCAGCCCCAGATCGGCCCCTGCTGCCCACCTGCGCCAGAACTTCCCCAAAGCCCCATTAGCAACCCCAACCCTACAACTGACCCTGCTGGCCCACCCCGGTCCCATAACTAACCCCCCACCCCGAGAACTGCCCCCTAAACCCATAACTGCCCCTGCCGCCTCCCAGGCCCAGAATTGCCACCCCAGTCCCAGAACTGTCCCCACTGCACCCCCGTAAGTGCTGCCCCAACCCTACAACTGCCCTCAACCTCATAACTTCCCCTGCTGCCCCCCAACCCTATAACTGCCCTCAACCCCATAACTTCCCCTGCTGCCCCCCAACCCTATAACTGCCCTCAACCCCATAACTTCCCCTGCTGCCCCCAACCCTATAACTGCCCTCAACCCCATAACTTCCCCTGCTGCCCCCAACCCTATAACTGCCCTCAACCCCATAACTTCCCCTGCTGCCCCCCAACCCTATAACTGCCCTCAACCCCATAACTTCCCCTGCTGCCCCCCAACCCTATAACTGCCCTCAACCCCATAACTTCCCCTGCTGCCCCCAACCCTATAACTGCCCTCAACCCCATAACTTCCCCTGCTGCCCTCAACCCTATAACTGCCCTCAACCCCATAACTTCCCTGCTGCCCCCAACCCTATAACTGCCCTCAACCCCATAACTTCCCCTGCTGCCCCCAACCCTATAACTGCCCTCAACCCCATAACTTCCCCTGCTGCCCCCCAACCCTATAACTGCCCCTGTGCCCCCCTCCACGTGACCGCAGGTCACGTGCGCATCAGACCCCGCCCCCACCGCCATCTCGCGGCCCAACGGGGCGGGGCTCGGTGACGTTCGCTGGTGGGGCGTGGTTTGGTGACGTCAGTTGGGCGGGGCCGCGAGGGGCGGGGCATGCGGCGGGAGCGGCGCGCGCCATGGGGGCGGCGGAGCAGGACGTGTACCGGGACACGTGGGTCCGATACCTGGGTGAGCTCCGGGACACCCGCGGGCACGGGGGGACACCGGGCACCCGCGGTACCGGCAACTGCGGGAACGCCGGGAACAGGGCACTGACATTGAGCGCGGACACCGAGAGCCGGGCACTGACACCGGGAACGGGGCACTGACATTGAGTGTGACACCGGGAGCGGGGCACTGACACCGGGAACTGACAGCGGGACCTGGCATTGACACTGACTGTGACACCGGGAGCGGGGCACTGACACTGGAACGGGGCACTGACACTGAACACTGACATCGGGAACTGGTACCGGCACAGGGAACCTGGTACTGACACCGGGAACTGCGGGCTGGGTCTGGGTACCAGCACCAGGAGCTACAGGAATGCCGGGAACTGAGCACTGACTCTGGGCACTGGCACTGGGTACCAGCACTGGGAACCAGGCATTGATACCCAGCACCAGCACCGGGCACAACAGTGGGAACCAGTACCGGGTACTGCCACTGGGTACAGGGTACTGTCATAGGGCACCAGCAGCAGGCACTGACACCAGGAACTGGCACGGGGTACTGAGTAATGGCACAGGGCACTGGCACCAGGAACCAGGCCCTGACATCGGGTGCCAGCACAGGGGGCACTGAGAGTGGGTATGGGGTCCTGGCACTGGGTGCTGTCACTGTGTACTGACATGAAGTGTTGGGCACTGACAGCAGGAAGCAGGCACGGATGTTGGTTACTGGGCACAGCACGGGGCACTGACAGACAGGCAGCACAGGTACCAGGCACCACACCGGGTACTGGGCACTACATTGGGTACCAGCACCAGGCACAGCACCAGAAACTGGGCACTGACACCCAGCACCTTGTACCGGGCACTGCATGGGGCACTGACCTCAGCACTGACCCTGGGTACCAGGTATCAGCACCACACCCTGGCACTGGCACTGCACGCTGGGTACCAGCGCTGCTGAGCAGCACCACAGCCTGTCACCGGCACAGGTACCCGTCCCTGTCACTCGTGCTGAGCACCAGCACCTGTACTGGGCAGTGGGACCATCCACCAGCACCACCCACAGACAATGGGGACCAGAACCCTGTTACCATCACTGGGCACTGGTCGTAGACAGTGATACCAGCAGTGGGCACCAGTCACACACACCAGTACTGCCACTGGGCACTGGTACTGGCACTGGACACTAGTCACAGACACCAATACTGCCACTGGGCACTGGTACCAGCACTGGGCACCAGTCACAGACACTGGTACTGGCACTGAGCTCTGGGCACTGTCACTGGTCACCCCTAGCCCCGTTATCTGGTGGCAGTGGGGTCCAAGGAGACCCAGCTGCTCCAAACCCCCCCATGCACGAATCCACCCCTGCTCACAGGGACAGCCAGGGAGGACACAGGGATGCTCTGGGGCAGTGACACGGGTACACACCCCGTCCCTGTCCATGCTGACCCCCCCGTGCCCCCCAGGTTACGCCAACGAGGTGGGCGAGTCGTTCCGCGCGCTGGTGCCGGTGCCGGTGGTGTGGGCCAGCTACGGCGTGGCCACCGCCTACGTGACCGCCGACGCCATCGACAAGGGCCGGAGAGCGGCCACCGTGAGTGCCACCCCCTCCCCACCCCCCCCCACCCTCACCCATCCCACTGACCCTCATGTCCCCCCAGGTGCACACGCAGGACCCCACGCGGGTGGGGGTGGCCGTGGTGGACACCTTCGTGTGGCAGGGCCTGGCCTCGGTGGCCATCCCCGGCTTCACCATCAACCGGCTCTGCGCTGCCTCGCTGGCCCTGCTGGGGACCCTGACCCGCTGGCCCCTGCCCCTGCGCCGCTGGGCCACCACCGCCCTGGGGCTGGCAGCCATCCCCCTCATCATCACCCCCATCGACAGGTAACAGGGACACCCCTGGGGTGGGGGGGAGCGGGTGCCACCACCCCATCCCTGCATCCAAGGGATGGAACGTGACTCATCTCAGTGTGGGCTTGGGGCTGGGAGCATGGGGGGTGTGTGTGGGGGGATGTCTCCACCCCAGAGGGGCTTTGCTGGGGTCTAGCGAGGACACGTCAGGCTGGGGATTATCCAGAGCTGAGCTGGGATTAGCACACTGAAGCTGTGCTAAGCCTTGTTTTGGTGGGGCTGGTGTCTTGGGGTCATTAGGGATGGCCCAACCCATCCCCCATCACATCCAGTACTGCAGGGACGCCTCTGACACCCCGCATCCCCTCTTCTGCTGCAGGACTGTGGATTTCCTCATGGATTCCAGCCTCCGCAAACTTTACGGGACACCAGGAGAGCCCCCGACACCCCACTGAGCTCCTCCAGCCCTGCACATGCTGGGGGAACCAAGGCACTGCTGTGACCCACCTACTGTGACCCCTTGCTCCGGTGACAACCCCGGAGTGGCCACCCTGCCCCACACTGGTCCTAATAAACCATTTCAAACGTGAGCCCTGCTGGGTGATGCTCAGGTGCCACCACAGCTGGGCCGCAGCCGTGTCCCCTCCTGGGCAGACACATGGGTCTGGTTGGGGCCCAACCCCTCTTGGAGGTCTCCACCCTGAGACAGGGGGTCTCCACCTGCCCAGAGCAGCCCTGGTGGCCCCCCCATGGAACCCCTCCATCTCTCCACGGCCTCCCGGGACATCCTGCAGCCTGTCACCCCAAGGAGCTGCCACCATGGTCTCCAGGGGCCCAAAATCCCCCTGCTCCAGCACCACAGCCTAGGACTGTGCCACCATGCCTGGAAGTCACATCTCCAGGTACCCAGAGGAACCTGGAGGGCATGTGGCTTGTCGGTGTAGTGGCACGTCCCCATCCCAAAGTGGCATCCGCACGCCACCACCAGGAGAGGCTGTAGAGAGAACAAAGCCACATTTATTGCAGAGAGATGGGGTCTGGTCCCACCTCACCCCGTTTCCCTGTCTCCCTGAGGACCAGGGCCCCCACCACGCTCTGCAGCTCAGCCTGGAAGGGACTCCTGTGCCTCGGTGGCCGCCGTCCCCGCCGCTGCGTGCCCGGGCGCCAGGCGGTCAGGGCCAGCCCCAGCAGCCCCCCCACCGCGGCGACCACCACCACGGCACTGCCCACCAGGGCCAGCCCGGCCAGCAGGAACCTCTTCATGGTGTGGCGCGGCCCTGGGGACAGCAAAAAACACACCAGTCAGGGGGGTCACTGGGTGGTCCAGCACTTGGGGAGGGAGGTTTGGGGACATGGGAGAGGGCTGGGGTGTCCCTCACCTTCGTACCATGGCACCTTCTCCTTCTGCACCAGCACTGGTCCAGCTGTCTCCCAGTGGAGCGTCCCCTCACCTGGGAATGCTGTGGGAGGACATGGCCAGTACAGCCCATCTGAGGCCCAGGAGCTCCTCACAAGACCCCAGAACAATGTGGGGTCACCATATCCCATCCCTGGTACCTGGCAGGTGTCTTGGGAGGGTGTCACCATGGGGACAGCTGGTGTCACAGCAGTGGCACTGGGCACTCTGGGAAGGGTCCTCTGCATTGAGCCAGCTGGGAGAGGAGAGGACAGAGCTGGGGGGTGGGTCTAGGGGCCCCCATAACTCCAGCACAAGACCCACATGGTGCCACCCCAGAGGAAGTGTCCTCCAGGTGACTCCAAACACCTCCCCAGTTCATCTGCACCATGAGGGTGCTTGGCCTGTGGTGATGCCACCAGTTGCCATTGGAGAAGAGGTGGCATCCAGCCCGCACTGGAGTGACCTGGTTCCTCCCCCGGGTGGGTCCCCATGACCAGTGGGTTCTGCTCCCAACACACCCACGAGTGCTCACGTCCCAGGGCACCAGCACCCAGCGTACCTGGCTGTGGTGTGGCTGTAGAAGCAGGACCTGGTGGCGTGTCCTTGTCCCCACGCTGTCAGCAGGCAGTGCACATACACCTGCCAGGAAACCCCCTGCTGCATCCTTCCTTGGAGACCCTGCTCTCCTCCCCTCCAACCCCGGGGGCTGAGACCACCCCAGCAGGGAGTGGGATGCCTCAGCAGGGACAGTGCTTTGGGACCCCCAGGTCATCCCCCCTCCATGGGACCTCCATCCCACCACCAAGGGCATCTCCCTGACCTCACCTCCTCCTCCTCAGGCTCACCATCCAGTGTGGGGGCCAGGATGGAGAGCTGGAGGGCAGACCCCCCTCTCCAGTGCTGGACAGACACATTCCCCACCTTCTCCCCGTGCAGGCACCTGTGGCAGGAGAACAACACAGGGACATTCCCAGGCTGTCTCCAGGCCTCTGGACAACCCCCCCATCAGGAGGCCCTGCAGGACCACAGGGTGCCTGGAGAAGGGGTCCCTACTTCCCAGCCCACCAGCACTGACCCCTGGCTGTTCACCACCATGAAGACCCTCCTGGAGGGGCCTGGCTGCTCCACGATGGTCCCATAGCACTGGTCCACACGGATCTTCATGGAGAAGCTGGGACTGAAGTGGACACTGGCTTCCAGATGGATGGCAGAGCTGGGGCTGAGAACCAGTGGCTGCCCCGTGGCACTGGGGTCCCCTGAGGGGAAACGTGGGTTCAGTGTGACAACCCCAAACCTGTCCCACCAGACACAGGGACACCAGAGGCATCCCAGACCACCACCCACCAGTGTCTTGGCTTCCATCCCTGCAGCTCCCCCATTTCAGAGCCCACCCCATCCCTGGAAGCCGAGAGCTGTCCTGGCTCTGTCCCCACAGCCTGGCTCCCCTGCTCCCCAGAGCTGCAGCACCTTCCTGGACCCCCCCCACCCCAGAGCTGAGAGAGACCATCTCAGGCCCCATCAGGGTCAGAGCTGACCCCCAAAATCCCATTGTTGTATCAGACCCAGGATTAGGAACACCTCAAAGCCCCACCATCCAAAGCCCTACACCCTCCACAAGACCGGGGGGAGCTTCTGCAGGGACAGCCACCTTCTCCTGGTGGTCCTAGTGCTGGGGCCGGCCAGGAGAACCCACTGGGTGCTGCTGTTTGAACCCAGGGGTCTTGGCTGGGCCTATCCCACGGTCTCCCCCCAAAAGTTGTCCCCCAGCACCCCCTGAGCACTCACCATCCAGGAGCCTCAGGGTGAAGTTCATGATGGGCTCCTCAGAGCTGGGGTGAGCAGGAACCTCCCCCGTCCCCATGTCTGGGGACACCACCGGAGCTGTCACTGTGTGATGGGGGGGCTCTGAGGCATCTGGAGCCACAGTGGTCCCTGCAGCAAGGGGAGGACTGAGCCAGCAGCAGCATGTCCCAGACACAGCAGGGACATCTAGGTCCTCAGGTGTCCCCAGGATTCATGGGGGGCAGGTGACAGCAGCACAAAGCTGGAGAGAGCACCCCAGAGCACATTGGGGGCTCCTCCATCCCCAGGCAGGAGCTGCTGCACTGGGAGCATTCCCAGCACCTGACCAGGGCTGGGGACAGCCCAGGAGCTGCTCATGGGCTGGGGAGACCACTGCCAGCAGCCCCAGACCCCACCAGTGCCTCTGCTACCCTCCCCAAGCCTCCCAGACCTGCTGGGACCTGAGGGAGCTCCCGGCAGCCCCCTTGCCCCAACCACACCCCCTCAAAGCTTGGGGTCATTTCAGGAAGGCTCCTCTCCACCAAGACAACCTGCATCAGCAGGTCCAAGTGACCAGCAAAGCCGAGGGCACCCCATACCCACCTTCCCCAGTACAACCAGTGGGGGGACCGAGGGGGTTCCCAGCCCCACTCACCTGCCACCCCAAACACAGCCCTACACACCAGCACCAACCAGCACAGCTCCATCCCCAGTGAGCAGCACCCCCTACCCCCCCACCTGGGGGTCTTTAAGGACCATGGCTGGGTGCCAATGGGCCCCAGCTGACACTGATGGGTTTGGGGCTTTGTTGACCCACACCTGGGGCTGGTCTCACCCCTCACACCATTCCAGTCTCAACACAAGGGTCTGTGCCCATTGCCCAGTTCCTGTTCTGTCCCATAGTCCCACTCCCACCACTCAGACTGATCCTGCAGATGGTCCTGAGCACGGCCCATATCCACCAGTTAGTCCTGGCCCAATATCCACCAGTTAGTCCTGGCCCCATATCCACCAATCAGTCCCATTCCCGTGATGCAGGTTCCACCATGTAGTTGTGGTCCTGGTCCTCAGCAAGGTTCAGATCTCACCACGTTGTCCCATCCCCCCTTAGTCCTGGTCCTGTTCATGGTGGTGGTCCCACCATGTAGTTTTAGTGCTGGACATGGTGCTGGTTCAACCCTTTTGCTCTGGTCCCAGATCACCACGTGGTCTGGTTCCATCACTCAGCCTTGATCCTATGGATGTTCCTGGTCCCATCCCCACACTCCTACGTGTGGTCCTAGCCCTGCCACAGTTTTGATCCCACCATTGTCATGATCCCATGGATGATCCCAGTCCCACCACAGAGTCCCAGTCCTCAATGCTCCATCCTTGTTCCACCACTATCCTGCTCTCAACTCTCCAGGACAGGGAACCCATCTGGGAGCAGCAGTTTGGACCCAACCAGGACAGACACATGTCCCTGTGCCCTGCCTGTCTCAGGTGCCCCCAACACCCTACCACAGCCCCAAAGCCCCACCCCGCCACAGCTCCTCTGTGTGGGCTGAGCTGGTGGCCTGGGCAGAGGGACAGGGAATGTGTCCCCATGGGGACATCACCCTGGGTGGGCTCTGCAGCCAACCTGCCTGGAACGGGGATTGTCCATCCCACATCTGCAGAGGCAACCTGTGGCCAAGGTGGGATTTGGTCCCTGGTGCCAGCAGGAGACCTCAGGATGCCATGGGAGACACGTGTGGACCTCTGGGAGGTGTCCCCGTGCCCGTCCCAGTGTCTGTGGGCAGTATCACACACAGCTGAGTTGGTGGCAGCAGTGGTGGCTGATGACTCCCCACAGCCCCCCTGAGACAGGGTGCAGAGCTGGGATGAGTGACTTGTGTCACCTGTGATGGCTGTCCCGTGGTTCAGGGTCCCTGTGAAGCCAGCAGACCTTCCTGGTGCCACCTGTACCCCCTGGGAATGCCCCCAGCACCCAGCAGGGACAGCGGGGACAGACCCAGGTGCCCCCCTTGCTCTGGGGGTCTCGTTCCTCAGCGCTGCCCAGGGGACACAGGTCTCCCCACCCCCAGGGCTGATGAGAGCTGGGATCAACCCCCCAGGAGGAGCAGGGACTGGCAGAGCATCCTGCCGTGGCCACTCATTGTGGCCTCACACTGGGACATCCCCACCCCATCCAACCCACCCCAGAGAAGGAGGTGGTTGGAGACTGGCTGGCCCATCCCTGCATTAAAAACTGCCAAATATACAATTATCTTACAAAAGTAGAATTGTTTTTTTTATTCCTGGTCTTTACAGAAGGAGTGAAATGCGGGTGGGTGTTGGGGGGGTCCCTTTGCTGCAGGGGAGGCTCAGCCACCGGTGCCACCTCCGTGCCCGGCCAGGGCCACTCTCGACAGGACACGGTGTCGCCGGGGTCATCCAGCCCGGCTGGGACACACGAGGTCTGTCCCCAAGGCAGGGTGGGGACACACCCTGTCCTTGGCATCCCCACCATGCCCGGGATGGCACCACAGGGACAGTGCCCACCACACCCCGCTCCCCATCTCCTCCCCACACCAGTTCTCACCAGACCCCATCGGCCTTCTGGGATGTCCCCTGTGGGGACCTGGGCCACGGGGCCCTCCAACTGGGATGATGGGGGTCAGGTAGGGGGTGCCCTTAGCCCACAGGGAGCTGTTGATAAATGCTGGGTCTTTTGGGGTGGGTTTTCCAATCTCCAGATGGCTCTGGGTGGCTCTGGGTCATAGCCTGCCATGGAGTGATAGCTGTGGGTGAGCTGAGAACGGGCTGTACTCATCACACCCGTGGGCAGCAGGCTCCAACACTCCAGCACCCAAAAACCAGGGCTCAAAGGAGTGATTTGAGGAGCCCCTGGAGGGCTGGGTTCCCTGTGGACAGCTCTGCCCACTCTGGGCAAAGAGGACCCTCTGCCACTGCTGTCCCAGCACGTCCCTGTCCACACTGGGCTGCCCCCAGCAAGGTGGTGATGGATGGATGTCCTGCTCCCGCTGTGACAGGGCCATGTCCTTCATAAATACCTCCTCCAGCCTTTCCGTGGGGAAGGAAGAAGTGGATCCTGCAGGAAAACACCACCCCTGAACCCTCAGTCCTCGACCCTGGGGGTGGAGGCAGAGTCTCCAGTCTCCAACCCAAGCTGGGGCTCTGCAGGAAGGTGGTGGAGGGTCTCCCCCAAAGTTCCTGGGCGCTGGAACCTCCAGCCAGTTCCAAACCACAAGAACCACGAGTAAGAAAAACGAAAGCACCTGGTTCTTCCCCGGGGGGAGCGAGGCACCTGCCAGCCCCTACCACTTGAGGAAGTCCCGCACGTAACTCCATAGCTTGGTGATCCAGAGGTTGGCCCCCAGGTCAGTCAGGTACTGGATCTCGGGTGTCAGCATCTTGCGGCACAGCTTCTGGTGCTTCTTGTTGATCTTCTTCTTCAAGTTGTACCCCAGGATGGTCTTCTCCCCCAGGGGCTGCCAGGGCTGCATGGAGGACTCCTGGATGGCGCTGGCATCCACGGCGTGCCCCCCGTCGATGCAGATGCTCTTCATCTTCTCGTTCTCCCTCTGCAGCTCGGCCACGTCCTTGGCCATCCTCTCCCTCCCGTAGGCCTCCACCTTACGCCAGAAGGTGGCATTGAAGTAGCGGTAGAGCTTGGCGTCGATGAGGTTCCAGGCAGTCGCCTGCTCGTAGAGCTCGGGGGTCAGCCGGGACACGGTGGAGCCCTTGCGGGCGTTGAGCTTGAAGTAGAGGACATCCTCCAGCTGCCAGCACAGCAGGTCCTTCAGCAGCACCAGCGACTCGTCGAAGTACTCGAGCAACATGACGAGGTGGAAGCGGCGGTCGATCTCGCGGATGTGCTCCTCCACCAGCGGGCTGCCCGCGTCCATCGTGTTGTCGTAGCCGAAGTCGAAGAAGAGGAGGTTTTGGAGGTAGTGAGCGTTGAACCCGTTGGGGTCGTAGTAGTGCCGGGGGTCCCGCAGGAACTCGGCCAGCTTGTCCTCCCCCATTATCTTCCAGGTGAGGGGGATGACGGGCCCGAAGTAGTGGAAGGAGGACTCGAAGAGGTGGGCGGGGTCCCGCAGCACCGTCACGAAGGTGGTGTCGGGCGGCAGCAGCTCGCGCACCTCCTCGTAGTGGAAGCGCATGTGGTTGCAGATGATGTTGAAGCACCGGCCGGGCTGGTAGTGCTGCACTTGGCTGCGCTCGAAGAACGACGGGTAGTAGAAGTCGTTGCGGCCGTTGGGGAAGGCGAACTTCAGGTGATGCTTCTCCCCGAAGCGGAAGAGGATGTTGAGGATGGTGCTGCTGGCGGTCTTGTGGGTCTTCATGAACATGACGTTGAGCTTGGGCCGGCAGCTCCGTCCTGAGGGGCTCCCCGTGCCGTTGGACACCTCCAGAGCCCTGGCGGGGGACGGGCGGGAGGAGCAGGAGGAGGGGATGGGGATCCTGCGGGGACAAGAGACAGGACTGTGGTGAGGTGAGGGCGGCTCAGCCAGCGCGGCCCCACCACTGTGAAGGGTCCGGAACATTCTGTCCTGGAGGAGCTGGGTCTGGGGATGGGTGCTGGAAACAGGAATGGGTGCTGGACCTGGGAGTGGGTACTGGACCTGGGAACAGCTGCTGGAGATGGGTGCTCACCCCCAGCACCCCCAGGCTCCCCACTGGAGACAAGCCCCGCTTCGAGCAGAGCCCCTTCACCCCCAGCCATGTGCCCAGTGGGATCAGGGCACCCACCTGACTGGAAAGGGGGCAAAAGGGGAGGAAAGAAGTGGGGAAAGAAGAAGGGGGGGGAGGAATGCAGGGAGAGAAATGCCTGATATCAGATGCATCTCTGAGCCACCAAACCACCCTCATTCACCCTGGACAACTCGAGCCACTGAGGACGTGTTGTTGTGGTCAGCCCTCACCAGCACCAGAGCACCCTGAGCAGGAGGTCCACACCCTCCCCATGGGCATGGCTGTGGTGGTCCTGGTGCCAAGAAGTGCATCAGGGGAGCTTCCCATGGCTGTGACTCCACGGAGAGGACCTGATGACATTCTTATGGGGTCTGAGAGCTTTCAAGCCCTTATGGGATCCATGGAGGAGGTTGGGAACTCTCAAGGAAGAGGTCTGGGAGCTCTCAAGCCCTTGTAGGAGTCATGAACCCCTGGTGGGACCGAATGGAGGACCCAGCCCCCAGCAAAGAGGGAAACAGTTCCAGAGCCTGGCCCCACAGATGAGCTCACAGGCCCCAGGGGAGCATGGGAGGACATGAGGGGTGTTATCTGAGCTGCCCAGGACAAAGAACAGAGACCACAGTCTCGAGTGACTTTGGATGCCCTTAATGAACTCCTCAAGATGATCTTGATAACAATCCCATGCGACAGCACGACGGCACCGGTCGGCACAAGGGTTATGAGGCACGTGGATCTTGTTTATGACCTTGAGATAAATTTGATGACAGGAGTCATGGGAGCTGAGCTGCAGAGTTTCAGTAGTGAAAGAACCTAGGACTCGACTCCTATCTCCTCTCCTCTGCTCTGCTCTGCTCTCCTCTCCTCTCCTCCCCATCCTTCATCATCATCATGCCCACCCTCTCCCTTCTCTCCCCTCTTCCCTCTTCCTCTCTCTTTTCACCCAGGAGCAGTGAGTGCCCCCAAGATGAGCATCCCCAGCCCCCTGCAGAGTTGGGATCCACCTTCCCCCCCAACCTTGGGACAGGGCACAGCCTCCAGAGGGAAGGGGACATCTTGGTGTGAAGCCACCAGAGCCCAGAAAACCCCAGGACTGTCTCCAGCTGGGGGTTCCCGAGCTGTGGGGGGACGTGCAGGGGCCCCAGACTCACTCAGTCACGCTGACTTGCAGCGGGGGGCCAGCGTAGGAGTAGAGCAGCAACATGAAGCTGGTCAGGAGGGTCCCCAGGACCAGCCCCTTGCACATGGACCTCCAGGGCTTCCCATGGCACAGCATCCTGGTCACCTGCAGCAAGAAAGAAGCGACATTGGCAACTGGGGGGGGTGTGAAGAGACACTCATGCACCTCATGAGTGTGACAATTCCCGGAAAGCACTGGCTTCAGGTGCTGGCACAGCAGATCCATGGCCCAGGCCCAGCAGCTCTGCCTGCCTAGCTGACCTTTGCCTGCCTTGGAAAAACCCTGAGTGACTCCCAGGCCTCCTGGAGCAGTGGGAGAGGCTACAGGGCTGGGACTGGGAGAAGGGGGAGCTGGGCCACGGGCAGCCCAACGGCAGAGTGAGGATCCTCAGCCAGGACATCACCAGGAGCTTCCCAAGGGCGCTGGGATCCATTCTCCCAGAAAAACATCCAGGCTGGAGCAGGACCATGGACACACGTGTGTGCACACTGGACACACACACCAGAACACACACACCCGAGCACGTTCACGTGTATGTGCACACACGTACACACACAGATGCACTCATGAATCCCTGCCAAGGGCACAGACGTGCTCACACATGCACACACAGGGGCACACACACATCTGTGCGTGTTCACTCGTGTGCAGGCACACACAGATGCACACACAGACACACGGATGCACTCACAAATCCCCTCCAAGGGCACAGACAAGGTCACATGTACACACAGGGGCACACAGGGGGCACACGTCTGGGCATGTTAATGCATGTGCAGGCACACACAGACACACACAGGGGCACACATCTGTGCATGCTCATGTGTGTGCAGGCACACACAGACACACACATGGCCACAGGGGCACATCTCTGCATGTGCATGCACACACAAGGGCACACACCTGTGCATCCATGCATCCATGCATCCAGATACACACACAGACACACACGAACACACATGAATGCCCCCCCGGACACAGACACACACACACACACACACATGTGCACACTGCTGCACTCACGGGGCACACGGGCACCACAGCGCTCACGTGTGCTCACATGTGCACGAGGACACACACACACCAATGCATGTTCATACACACACATGTGCACACACATCAGTGCCTGCTCGTACACCCCTCAATGCATGTTCATACACACACAGCCCCCACCACAGGGCGCCCCTCCCCAGCACTCCCTCTGTCCCCCTCCCTCCGCCGCCACAGGCGGGACACGGAGGGTCACGGTCAGCTGTGACACCGCATTGCAGTAGGGCCGTCCCCTGCGGCAGGACACGGGGACACGGGGACACGCCACCTGCGACCGCGGCCCCCTCTGTGGGGGGCTGCGGGCTGAGCCCCCGCCCGGGAGCGCCCCGAGCTGGGGGCAGAGCCCCCCCGGCCCCGCACCCCCCATTAGCGGCGGGAGCAGCATCTCCGGACCGAGCTCCCGCTGCTCCCGCTGCTCCCGCGGTTCCGCATCGCTCCCGAACCCTTCGGCCAAAGCTGCCGCGCTCCCACCGAATAACACCCCCGAAACAACTCACCGACCCCCCCTCCCCGCCACACATCACCCCCTCAGCACCTCAAACCGCCGGCGGAAATTCCGGCGGGGCTAAATCCCGCCGGGAAGAGCCGCGGATCGCACGGCGACACATTCCACCCCCCGAGGCTCCCGCGGCGAAGCCCCCCCGCACCCCCCAGAGTTACCCGGAGCCCGGCGATCCCGGGGTGCCGCCGCTCCCGCCGCTCCCCTGCCCGGCCCCCCCGGGTCGGATCGCCTCGTGCTGCCGAGATTTCCAGCTCAATGAATAATGAATGGAAAATGCAACCGGAGCCCCGGGCTGCGGCCGGCACTGGGCACAGCGCCGCGGAAGGGGGAGAGCCGGGAGGAGGGCACGGGGGGTACCCCAAAAGCTCATCCACAGCCTCCCTCCCACCTTGCCCTGTAGCAGGGACCACTGGATCAGGCAGGGCTGGTGCATCCAGCCTCTTCCCGCGTGGTTTTCCAGGGAATTTGTGGTGTCAGTGCTGGGGGAGCAGATGGCTCTGGCCGTACCCCAAGATCACTGCGTGGGTGTCAGTGCCGGAGGGCTCCACGTGCCTGGGAGCAGCTGGAGTTTGGTTCTGCGCCGTGGCTGTGATCCCACCACAGTCACCACCCAGCACCACCTGGAAAAGCCACTGGAGAGAGCCGGGGAGGACACCCAGTTTTGTGGGTGCTGCCAGATGGGAGTTCAGAGCTGCACCCCGAGGATCACCAGCGCTGGCACCGATCCCATGGAAGTGAGTGAGACTGCACCATGAACCCCCGATGGGTTCCAATGGATCCCAGTCAGTCCAGATGGGTTCCAGTGGATCCTGATAGATCCCATTGGGACCCTGCCAGCCCCCCAGGTCCACACAGCACCCCATCCCAGTGCTCTGGAATGCCAAGGGGATGCCTCCCTCCACCCTTCCTGGCTCCCAGGGGTGGTTCTGGAAAACACTTTTCAGCCCAACCTCTCTATTTACTTTGCCTTCAATGAGCAGTTTAATTATTAATAAGCTGCTGAGGCAATGAACTCTTTCAGGGGAACATGGTGCACCAGGCATATTCCTGGGGCTCCCACGGGTGCAGGACGGCCGCGGCGCCAGTGGCTGAAATTCCCAGCTGGAGGACACGGCTGCACCGACCATCTCCTCACCAGTGACCCCCAGGCCAGGCCAGGCCAGGCCCCGCAGCTCTGCATCCCAATCTCAGTGTCCCAGTAGCTTCCCAGCTCCCCGGGGGCATCTCAGAACTTGCTTTGGGGTTTTCCCTATCGGATCCACTCTTTTTAGTCCCAAACCCCTATAATCTGCCATACACAAGGCATATCCACCTGCTGTTTGCTCCTCCTGATCCCACAAATCCATGTACACTCTGTTTTCGGCAGGCCCCGTTCCACACAGGCACGGTGCTTCCTAACCCCCTGTTCCCCTTGCACACTCTCATGGGTGCAAACATCCAGCCCCACACCCTCATCTCTGCCCCATACAGCTGCTTTCCAAGCATCTCAAGCTCCCCCCACCCAGCATCCCAAAACCCTCGAAACATCCCAACACCCTGTCAAGCATCCCTCTGCCCCCAAGCAACCCAACAATATCCCAAGGATCCTGCTGTCCCCTCCACCATCCTGCCACCCTTCAAGCACCCCACAAACTCCCAAGCATCCCCCTGTGCCTTCAGCATGCATCACCTTTTCCTCTGCCTGCGCCGCTGGCGCTGGGCTGTCCCTGTCCTGTCCTGGGCTGGCCGGGGTGCCGGGGGAGCGGGCGGCACGGGGCGGGGGTGCCGATGCTGCTCCGACATGGAATAAGCTCTTCCAGGGCAGCTCCCCGCAAACGCCGGCTTTTCCAAAGCCTCCCCACTCCACCGCGGTGCTTATGGCATCGCCTGGATCCCGGCCTCGGCTCGCCGGCCTGGGAAGGGGGAGAGGGAACGGAGAGGGAGAGGCTGGCGGAGGGATCGGGGGGTTCGGCCGGGCACTGCCCGGCTCCCCGGGGCCGGCCCTGGGTGCCCGCGGCCACCCCGAGCCGCCCGGCTCCCCACCCACTGCCGGGGCACAGAGGAGCCATTCAGCCCGCGCCGGGAACAACGGGGACGTTTGTCTCCATCTGCGCCCGCGGCCTCAACGGGGTCATTGTCCCCACGGGCCCCTGCGCCGGCCCCTCGGCTCGGCGCCACCGCCGGCCCCCGGCCCGGCTTGGCCCCACGCACCGGGTGACGATGGCCGTCCCCGGGCGGTGGCACCCACCTGTCGCCACCGGCCTCCTCCTCATCCCGCGGGGCAGCCCATGGTCTGGCTGTCACCTCCCGCAGCCCGAGCTCACCCGGCCGCCTGCTCCCCGGCGCGCCCTGGCCACGCACTGTGTGCTCCTCTTCATCCTCCCACGGCCCTCCCTCCCTGCGGCTGTATCTCCATGGTTTTATGGCCCTGATGGCGGCAATATTCCTGTGTCCCTGAGCTCAGCCCAGCAACTGCAGAGGCAGCGTGGTGTCACCAGCCTTTCCACCTTCCCCTGGTCACACTGGCTGAGCGGGTGCCCAGGGGCTGGGTGGGTGTCTGGGGGGGTCAGCAGGTGCCCCAGCTGCAACAGGAGGGCTCAGCCCCACCCCTGCTCCACCCCCCCCCCACACGTGCGTGGGTGGAAAAGCGGCCCTTGTTCTCCTGGATCCGGCCTTTGCTCTTCCTGCTGCCCTCAGATTCAAGTCTCTGCCACCAAAGGGGGGGAGGCCTTGGGTCCCCAAGTGAGGGGTGACCACACTGGCATCCAGCACCCCAGGGCACGCCTTGGCCATGTCCAGGACCCACCATCCCTGTCAGAGGGGTTTGGAGTTCAGGGCTCCTCCGCACAGGATCTAGGGGGGTCACCCTGCAGTGACTTGGCAGCTCTTGCCCCATCCTGCCCAGCATTGGCAGGACCAGTTCCCACCCCAGGGATAACCTGCGCAATCCCCCAGGAACGGGAAAATCCAGAATAGCTTCATCATCGTCATCGTATCATCATCACCATCACCATCATTGTCATCACAAGGGAAGGGATGAAGACAAGCGAGTTCAGTCAACGCTGGGCTGTGCCCACCCACCCTGGGAGAGGCAGAGGCTGGTGCCAGGGTGGGATCAGGATTCACCCTGGAACCAGTTGTGAGAGGGCAAGGAGTGGTCCCACCCCATCTCTGCAGGGCACCTCTCTAAATTCCAGGTTTCCCCCTCTTTGAAACGGGGTGCAAAGAGATTCCATGTTTCCCCCATTTTTGGGGATGAGTTTCCAGGTTTCCCCCTGTTTTTGGGGGATTGGTTATGAAGGATTTCCAGTTTCCCCCCTTTTTTGGAGATGGGTCACGAAGGGTTTCCAGGTTCTCCCTTTTTTGGGGGATGGGCTGTGAAGGGCTTTCAGATTTCTCCTGTTTTGAGGGATGGTTGGGAAAGGTTTCCAGCCAGAAGAGAACGGCAGTGGCTGGGACGCGGCAGCCCAACAACAGGTTGCTGGAGGCCTCAGGACAGATGTGACCGAGTTGGGAAGCCACAACACCCCATCTATCACATCCACGGGGTGTAACTCTCTCCTACATCCCATGGTGTGTAACCATCCCATGAGGACTCCACCACAGCCTCCCCCACCCCATCCCCAATCCCCCAGCCCAGGTTTTGGGGTACAAAGCAGGTACTCACACTGTGATCGCTGGAGCTGTGGATCCCGAGGGATGGGGTCAGGAGCCCAAGGAGAAGGTGGCACCACCGTGGTGTCACGCCCTGGCCAGGCCCTGGCAGACACTGATGGCAGAGTGTGGTGTCAGTGCCTTTATCACCAGAGAGGCTGTCACGACCGGAGTGGCCTGACTGGTTGGTGGCCACCCGGCCAGGGCCAGCGCCAGCCCTGCCCCGAGCCTGGAGCCGGTGCTGGGAGTGAGGGCTGGAATGGGTGTTGGGAGTGAGGGCTGGAATGGGTGTTGGGAGTGAGGACTGGAATGGGTGTTGGGAGTGAGGGCCGGGATGGGTGCTGGGAGTGAGGGCCGGGATGGGTGCTGGGAGTGAGGGCCGGGATGGGTGCTGGGAGTGAGGGCCGGGATGGGTGCTGGGGAGTAAAGGCCTGGAGCCACTGCTGGGAGTGAGGGCCTGGAGAGGGCGTTTGGGAGCAAGGGCCGGGAGGGACAGCCTGGAATGGCTGTTTGGGATCAAGGGCCTGGGGCTGGTGTTTGGGAGCGAGGACCTGGAGTGGGGTCTGGGGGCTCCCGGGCTTGGGGGAGCCTGAGGGGGAGCCCTGGCCCTGGGGGCACCCTAGGGTTCAATCCTCCTCTAAGAGAGGGGAAGAGGGAAAAAAAGAAAAAAAGGAAAATCCTTCCAACTCCTTGAAGTCGGAAAAAAAAAAAAAAGGGAAATAGAAAAAAAAAAGAAAAAAAATAAAAGGAGGGGAAAAAAGAGGGAGGAGGAAATGGGGGGAAAGGGGAAAAATAAAAATAAAAAAAGGATAAAACAGGAAAAAAATTAAAAAAAGAGGAAAAATAGGAAAGCCAAGGAGAACTAAGGAAAATGAAAAGGAGAAAAGGAAAGGGAAAAAAAGGTAAAAAAGGTGAGAAAAAAGGTAAAAAAGGGAAGAAAAATGGGGGACATCAAAGGGAAAAAAAGGGAAGAAAAATGGGGGACAACAAAGGGAAAAAAGGGAACACGAAGAGGGGGAAAAATGGGAAGAAAGTGGGGGAAAATGAAAATGGGGGAAAAAGGAAAAAAAGGAAAAAGGAAAATAAGGAAAAAAAGGAAAAAGGAAAAAATGAAAAAGAGGGAAAAAATGAAAAAGAGGGAAAAAAGGAGAAAGAGGAAAAAAAAGGGAAAAGAGGAAAAAAGGAAAAAAAAGAAAAAAGGGAAAAGAGGAAAAAAGGAAAAAAAAGAAAAAAGGGAAAAAAGGGGGAAAAAAAGGGAAAGCTAATTGCAAAAGGAAAAATCTAAAAAGCAAACAAAAACATTCAAAAAAGAAAGTAAAAATAAAAATAGAAATTATAAAGAAAAAAATCTAAGAAATGAAAATAAATCTAAATTCCACAAGCTGGGCACTTCCCACCATTCCCTCTCTGAGCTCCCTCACTGCTGGGAAATGTCACCCTCAGGACTGGCAGTGCTGCCGTGACCCCAAGGGCCACCCGTATCCCCTCACCAGTGCCAGAGGGTGTTCTCCAAAATCCCCGTGGGGTGACAGAGCCTTCCCCACACCCAGGGACAAAGGTGTCCCCATAAACCCCATGAGATACCACAGCACAGGAAAAGGTGTCCCCAAGGTGTTTTGGGAGGAAAATATGGGAGTGGGGGATGATGTTGCTGATGCCGGGAGTGTTGGCAGCCCTGGCATCGGCCCTGGCAGCTCCTCGTGCATCCTCAGCCCCACACACCCCCCAGAAGCAGGATGAGGAGCCTCCTCCGTGCCCAGGCAGAGGGAACAGACAACAAACAGCACCAGGAAAGCATCACCTTTATTTAAAAATAAAAATATAAGGGAATAGGGTTTTCTGTGTGGATACTGGGGAGCACTCTGGGCTCTGCACTCCTCTGCCCAAGGGAGCCTGGATCTGGCACCCAGGACTGTGCAAATAACGAACATTCCAGAGCCTGGAGCTCTCCTTGACCTCTTCCTCACACAGAGGCGGCTCCAGCATGGAGAGGACAGTCCTTGTGACGTGGATTCCATGGAGAGAGCCATGGGAGAGGCACAGCAGGAGGTGTATTTTCAGATGGGAAATGTTTCAATGCAGCATTTCTGTCCCAGGAGCAAAGCTGAGGGTTTTCCACCCAAAAGCAGCAGTGGAAAACCATCCTCCAGCTTCCCCCTGGGAGCCCCCAGCCCCATCATGCTCGTTGGGCCTTCTTGCTCTTCTTCTTCTCCTCCCTGAGGGCCGTGTCGTGGGCTTTCCTCTTCGCAGCCAATTTGTTGGCCTGTGGAGAGACCCCCAAGACCCCTGGTCAGAGTAGACCCACCTGCAGACCCTCAGTCCCACCAAACCTCCAGCTGTAGGTGGGGATGGATCCCACGGCACTGGGATCAGGTGCGGGACACAGAGCAGCCACAAGGCACGGGAGGGAGCACAAGGAGCTCTGCCCTGCCAAGGGGCAGCCTGGGGGTGCTGGGGAAGGGGCTGGTAGAGCCTCACCCCTGCCCTCACCACCTTCTCCAGGTACAGGGAGGGAGGAACAAGGAGATTTGGGAAGAGCCCATCCCGGGATGCCGGTGAGAGGTCCCGTCCCACAGGGCTCGTACCTCGCGGATTTTGCGCTTCTTGCCAAACATGATCTTTTTGTAGAGGTATTTCTCCCTCTTCTTCATCATCATGATGGCCAGGCGCTTCTCCTCGCTCTGCTGCTCCTGCTCCAGGCGCTGCTTGTCCTCCAACCTCACCTTCCCCGCTGTCACCTTCACAGGAAGCGCCTGCGGGGGACAGAGAGCTCAGGAACCGATCCCAGGAGCCCACCACCCCCATTTCCAGCCCACTCCCCCAGGGCCACGAACAGCCACAGCTCCCTCTGGACCTGAGCAGGTCCTAAGCGTGGGTGGGAGCTGCAGCTCATGAACATGGGGCCTGGAGCATCCCTGGAAATGTTCGAGGTCAAGTTGGACAGCGCTTGGAGCAACCTGGGCTAGTGGAAGGTGTCTCTGCCCATGGTGGGGGTGGAATGAAATGAGCTTTGAAGTCTCTCCCAGCCCAAACCACTCCAGGATTCTGTGAGTGCCCCAGCAGTCCCAGGACAAGAACACCCCACAGTGAGCAGAGAATCAGCAGGGGCAGTGCCCACCCGCCTCCTCCCAGGGCACCCACCTTGTTGCTCTGAGTCTTCTGCTCTTCCATCTTCTTTAATTTCATCTCCTCTTCCTTTTCAGACTCATCTTCCTCCTCCTCTTCTTTGTCATTGTCATCCTCCTCTTCCTCCTCCTCCTCTTCTTCCTCTTCCTCACTCTCCTCGTCTACAAGGAGAGACCGTGGTTACCCTTGAGAAGCCTCGGAGCAGGCGCTGGCACCGGCCCGGCTCCGAAACTCCTCCTTGGTTCCCATCACCTGGGTTCTCTCCCCGCTGCAGGGCCAGCAGCTTCAGCTTCTCCGGAGGGACGTAGTCGCCCTCCTGCTCCGTCACGAAGGGTGACAGGTGCGGGGGCAGCAGGACACCCGGGAAGTAATCGGCCACGGGCAGGCACAGCTTGGCATTGACCGAGTCAAACACCCACTGAGGCTGCAGGTAGTACCTGGGGGAGGCAGAGGGGACCCACCTCAGGCTCTGGAGCTCTGGGGACAGCTCTGGGGTGGCCCCCGTGGCCGTGCTGGGGACAGGCCCCGCCTCACCCACCTGCCAACCACCTGGTTCTCCACGCGGGGCCGGTCCACGATGTGGTGGGTGATGGAGGGGTCGGTGGAGTCGTAGGTGGCTCCAATGCACAGGGACTTGTCCCAGGAGACCTGGCCACCAAAGCTCCTGCCAGAAAAGCCCACCAAGGAGTCAGGCAGGTGGGTGGGATCCTCGGGATCACCTCACCCGTGGGACACTGGGCAGGGTGGCCCCAAAAGTCCCAGCAGAGGGGCTGTGGGAGGCCAGGGCTGCCCAGGGTGTCCCACCCGCCACGCACCGGATGACGAAGGCCAGAGGCTCCCGAGGCACCTCCCTGTTGAGGAAGAAGCGCAGCCCCTCAAACAGCTTCTTGTGCTTCTCCAGGGCCTCCTGCTCCTTCTTCTTGGCATCCATCTGCTCCGCTGTCTCCTGCTCGGAGCAAAGCCCTCAGCCTCCTCCCCAGCAGCCCCTGCCAAGCCCCCTCGGCAAGGGGGGTGTCTCAGGTGCTGTCCCCAGACTCACAGCACCTCGCTGGCCCTGCCAGCCTTTGCCTGGGCACAGGACAGGCAGGCATGAACCCCCCACCGGGCTCTTACCCCCTCCACTGGGAACTCGTCCATCTCCACCTCGTCCTCGTGGGTCGGGGCCACTACTCGGGCCAGGCTGGAGCTCAGAGCCGACAGTCTCTGCAGTGGGAGGAGATGGGAGTCACATCCAAGGGGTGGGAGAAATAGCAGTGCCATGCAGGAAAGGGATTTCTCAGAGCCAAAAGACCCAGGGACTGGGCAGAATTCAGCCTCCTCCACGGACAGACCCCAGCACAGGGCTCTGGAGGGTCCCCTGCCACACAGGGGGAGGCCGATGGAGCCCGGGGCCAAGCCCAGCTCCTCCCTACAGGGACCAGGAGTTTGGGATCAGCCCCCTCCACCCCTCAGTCCCATGGTGCCAGCAGTGTCCCTCACCTCCAGGTAGCTCTCTGAATCCATGGCATACTCCTTGCCCTCCGTGGGCTTCAGCTCAGCATCAGCCTGGCTGTCGATCTGGGGAGGAACAGAGGTGGGGAAGCAGCTCCCAAACCCAGAGACCCCAAATATCCCCCCCTGCACCACCCCAGGTGGTCCCAGCAGTGACCCCAGGGCCTCACCTTGGGGGGGTAGTGCAGGTTGAGGGAGTGGTAGAGGCGGAAGTTGACGAAGCCCAGGAGGGTGGTGTAGAACTCGGTGAAGGTGGCCATGACCCGGTAATCCACATCTGTGGGGTGCTGCAGGCACACAGGGAGGGGAGGACGTGTGGATAAAGGACCCTCTCTGTAGGGACAGGGGCCCATCCCATCCACATGGGGAGAAGGTCACAGAATATCCCAATTTAGGAAGGGACCCACCAGGATCATCCAGTCCAACCCCTGGCCCTGCACAGACACCCCAACAATCCCACCCTGTCCCTCAGAGCGTTGTCCAAACCCTCCTGGAGCTCTGGCAGCCTTGGGGCTGTGCCCACTGCCCTGGGGAGCCTGTTCAGTGCCAACCACCCTCTGGGGGAAGAACCTTTCCCTGAGATCCAACCTGAGCCTGCCCCCTTCACAAGTCAGGTCGCAGCCACTGCCAGACCCTGGGCAGGGATTGCTCCCCAGGCTGCTCTCAGGGTCCTGCTGCCACCCCTCCCTGCTTGGACACAGGGAGCACCTCACCCCATCATGGATGGGGACCTTGGGGCTTGGTCCAGGGACTTCAGCTCAGAGTGAGGAGTGCAGGGTGTGGCAGAGCTAGACAAGAGCAGGACAAGGAGGATGAGGACACAAGGAGTGGCTTCCCACTGCCAGAGGGCAAGGTTAGATGGGATACCGGGAATTATTCCCTGTGAGGGTGGGGAGGCCTTGGCCCAGGTTGCCCAGAGAAGCTGTGGCTGCCCCTGGATCCCTGGGAGTGTCCAGGGCCTAGGTTGGACAGGGCTTGGAGCAGCCTGGGCTGGTGGAAGGTGTCCCTGCCCATGGCAGGGGGTGGAATGAGATGACCCTCAAGGTCCCTTCCCACTCAAACCATTCCAGGATTTTATGATTTAAAACCACAGAGCCCCAACCCAACTGTGTCCAGCCCTGGAAATCCTGGGAGTGAGTGGAGAGGGCACTGCTGTGCCCGTGATCTCCTGCCTGCCAAGGCTCAGGGGGGCATATGGCTGTCCCAGCAGGGTGGCACCCACAGCCCCCCCTTGTCCTGCTGTGTAGGGACACAGCAGAATCTCCCTGGTCAAGGCTGCAGGATCTGACTCATCCCTTCCCTCTTTCCTGCAGGTTAATCTTTAATGGCTGGTAAAGGAGTGCATTAATAACTGAGGACGTGAGGAACTGGGGTGACTGGTACAGGCAGCCCCGGGGTTAAGAGAGGGATGTGTCCCCACACGCCCCCTGAGCTGGGCCCTGTGGGCTCACCACAGGCTGGGCACTGCCTCCTCTGCCTCAGGATGGACCCTCAGCCCCTCCCTGGGCACCGGATCCCACCGTGCCCCTCCCAGGCACTCACGTCGTGGGCGAAGGCGTAGGGGGTGATCCATGTGATGGGCTGGCCCAGCACCTCTGCCTGGTAGTAGATGCCCTTGATGGAGAGGAAGACCTGGCAGGACCAGAGGGAGGGCTCAGGGGGAGGAAGGCCATGAGGTTCCCACGTCTCTGTACTCGCTCCCCCTTCCCTTGGCTTGGTTGCTTCCTCCTCAGGGAGGATCAAACATCCTGGCGGGACACACACCCCAACGGCAGCTCCGGTGCGGCTGGGACAGTGCCCTCCCAGTACCCTCCCAGTGGCCTCCTGGTGCCCTCCCAGTGCCCAAACCCAGCACCCCCATGGCCCCTGGGCAGGGGGGCCTGTCCCTCTCCTTCCCCCACGCCCACCTTGCGCAGGGAGCGGGAGGCGATGACGTAGTTCTGGAATTCCACGGCCAGGCGCCGGCACAGCTGGATGGTCTGGACATGGCACTTTCCGGTGCGGGGGAAGGTGGAGAACAGGAAGCACATGGACAGGGCATCGTCCAGGTCCCGCAGGGCGTCGATGAATGTGGGGTACCTGTGTCCAGGAGGGAGGGAAGGGGGATCACAGCCGGCCCCGCTGTCCAGCAAAGGCTGCTGGGGCTGGGGGAGACCTCGGGAGAGAAAGGAACGGGAAACATGGAACATCCACCTGCACATCCCACCAGAGCTGGTCACAGAACCATGGAATGTCCTGAACTGGGGGGGACCCACCAGGATCATCCAGCCCAACCCCTGGCCCTGCACAGACACCCCAACAATCCCACCCTGTGCCCCAGAGGATCATCCAAACCCTCCTGCAGCTCTGGCAGCCTTGGGGCTGTGCCCACTGCCCTGGGGAGCCTGTTCAGTGCCAACCACCCTCTGGGGGAAGAACCTTGCCCTGAGATCCAACCTGAGCCTGCCCTGACACAGCTCCAGCCATTCCCTGGGGGGACCCACAGGGATGGGTGTCCCTCCTGGGCACTGAGGGGTCACAGCGAGGCAGCTCCTGGAGCTCCAGAGGACACGGCAGCACCTCGGAACACGAGGGGGTGTGGACAGGGCGCCCACAGGTTTTGAGCGTGGGGCATTCCAGCCTGGACCCCTGAGGATCAGTGTGCCCATGGCCTGTGGCACAGGACACTTCTCAGCACTGCTTCTCCCCTCACACCAGCACAGGGCGGTCCCAGGTACCACAGGGACAAGGAAGAGACCTGCCAGAGCCTGTTCCCTCCCTCCTCCCTGTGTCCCCTCCTTGCTCACTGTCACCAAAGCCATGGGCACGACTAACCCTCAACCAGCCCTCCCTCTGAGGAGAGCACTGTGCAGGGACAGGAGGGAGCCCCCAGTGTCCCCCTGGAGCCATCCAGGATGGCCAGGAGCTCCCTGCTCACTCCTCCAGCCCAGAGACACCCACTGACACCTACACCCCCAGAAAATACACAGGAGGTGGGCTCCCAAAGAGGGATGGATGTGGTGATGGAATCACAGAATCATGGAATGGTTTGTGTTGGAAGGGATCTTAAAGCCCATCCAGTCCCATCCCCTGCCATGGGCAGGGACACCTTCCACCAGCCCAGGCTGCTCCAAGCCCAGTCCAACCTGGCCTTGGACACTTTCAGGGATCCAGGGGCAGCCACAGCTTCTCTGGGCAACCTGGGCCAGGGCCTCACCACCCTCATAGCCAGCAATTCCTTCCCAATATTCCATCTATCCCTGTCCTCTGGCAATGGGAAGCCATTCCCTGTGTCCTGTCCCTCCATGCCTTGTCCCCAGTCCCTCTCCAGCTCTCCTGGAGCCCCTTTAGGCCCTGCAAGGGGCTCTCAGGTCTCCCTGGAGCCTTCTCTTCTCCAGGTGAACCCCCCAGCTGTCCCAGCCTGGCTCCAGAGCAGAGGGCTCCAGCCCTGGCAGCATCTCCGTGGCCTCCTCTGGCCTCTCTCCAGCAGCTCCACGTGCTCCCTGTGCTGGGGATCCCAGAGCTGGATACCCTGAGCTCCAGGTGGGCTCCACGTGGCTGTGCCAGGACTCTCCTCACCTCTCCTTCACGATGTGGTCGAGTTTGTAGGTGGGTTTGTTGTCCTTCAGCCGTTCCACGGTGCTCCACTCGCTCTTCCCGTACGCCTTGCGGAGCTTCCGCACGAACACCTGTGGGGATGGGGGAGTGGGAGCTCCTGGGAGCTCCTGGGTGCTCCAGGGCCAGCCCCAGCAGCCCCAGGGGTGGGACAATCACCTTGTATTCCCGGAATTTGTTGACGATGGGCTCATGGAGCAGGAATTTGATGTCCTTGAGCAGGTAGAAGGTCCTGGGGGCTGTGGAGCCCTTGTTCACCTTCTTCTTGTGCTTGGGCTCGTGGGGGTAGATCCCCTTGAGGATGCAGAGGCGCCTGGGGAGGGGACAGGGCTGGGACACAGCACCCCTGGGACATCCCAGGCTCTGTTCTTGGTGGGGGAGAACTCCCAAACTTGGCACCTGAAATCCTGGGACGCACCCCAGGACACTCGGGACAACCCACTCCTGCTCCCAAGGGACAGGGACACCCCAAGGGACACCCCCTGGAGGAGGTTCAGGGGGGCCCAGGGCTCCCCCCCCCCCCACAGGCTCCATTCCCCACTGCTGCCCCGGGAGGGGCCGGGGTGTTCCAGGGGTTCATCAAGGGGGTCCTGGGGGGAGCTCAGAAGGTTTGGGGTGCCGGTGGGGGTGTCCAGGAGGTCCGGAAGGGATTCAGGGTGTGTTCTGGGGCTTTGAGGTCCCGGGGGGCTCAGGAGGGGGGTGAGTTTGTGGGGTGTGGGGTCCCTGCACGGGGGGTTCGGGGGTCCCGGGCGCACCTGAAGTCGGGCAGGCTCAGCTGCAGCTTCTTCCGTGCCCGGTTGCGGGTGATGTAGTTGGTGGCGGCTCCGCGCTCGTACTGCGGGGACACGGGGGGAGAGCGGTGAGACCCCCGGGACCGGGGGGGAAACGGGACCACCCGGGGGGGGAGAGGGAGGGAAACGGGGCCCGGGGATGGGATGGGATGGGGGCTGAGAGGGACGGCCGGGCACGGACAGCGAGGGGGGCGAGCAGGGCAGCGGGCACCGACGGGAGGAGGGACAGGGATGGGACAGGGGCGGTGAGGGATGGGACAGGGATGGGTCAGGAATGGGACAGCGATGGGACAGGGATGGGACAGGGATAGGTCAGGGATGGGTCAGGGATGGGACAGGGATAGGTCAGGAATGGGACAGGGATGGGACAGGGATAGGTCAGGGATGGGACAGGGATGGGACAGGGATGGGACAGGGATGGGTCAGGAATGGGACAGGGATGGGACAGGGATGGGTCAGGGATGGGACAGGGATAGGTCAGGAATGGGACAGGGATGGGACAGGGATAGGTCAGGGATGGGTCAGGGATGGGACAGGGATAGGTCAGGGATGGGACAGGGGTGGGACGGGGATGGGACAGGGAAGGGACAGGGGCGGTCAGGGAAGGGACAGGGGCGGTCAGGGAAGGGACAGGGCGGTCAGGGAAGGGACAGGGGAGGTGAGGGATGGGACAGGGATGGGTCAGGGATGGGACAGGGATAGGTCAGGGATGGGACAGGGGTGGTCAGGGATGGGACAGGGGTGGTCAGGGGCGGTCAGGGATGGGACAGGGGCGGTCAGGGATGGTCAGGGATGGGACAGGGGCGGTCAGGGGCGGTCAGGGATGGGACAGGGGTGGTCAGGGGTGGGACAGGGCCGGGTCGGGACCGGGTCGGGTCCCGGTACCTTCTTCTTCTCCACCCCCCCCATGGCCCCGCCGCGCCACGCGCTGCCGCCGCCGCAGGACCCCGGGCCGCCCGCGCCGCGCCTGCGCGCACCGGAGCCCCCCGCGCCGGGCACGGGGACGGCGGGGACAGAACGAACACCGCGGGAGGAGCGAACGGAGCGAGCGGAGCGGGAGGAACGAGCGGAGCCAACAGAGCGAGCGGAGCGGGCGGCAGGACCGGGGCCGGTCAGGCGCGCGGCGGGCAGCCCAGAGCGCTGCGGCGAGGGGGCCTACGGCGCGGGGCATGCCGGGATATAGCGAGGCAGGCCGGTCCTCCCGTGCGGGGCGTGTCGGGATATGTCGCGATATACCGGGACACACCGGGGGGTCCCGCTCCCACCCCGCGGTCTCTACCCCAGCCCGGGGCTCCTGGCCTCCCCATAGCCCCGCGGCTGCGGCACTGCCCCCGAAGTCCCCACAGCCACCTCCCCGTGAGTCTGGAGGGGCCCGGGGGTTCACCCCCTCCCCCGGGGTCCCGCCGTGCCTGGGGTGCCGTGACCCCCGAACTGCCCCTCTCTCCCTCCCCCTCAGTGCTCAGGGGGTTTGAGGGCAGGGGTTCCCCACGCCGGTCCCTCCAGTCCAGCCTCTGGGGTTTTACCTTTTGGGGCTCGGGACCCCCCGGCTTTAGGGAGTTACTTTTTGGGGCTCCGCCCCCCACCCCCGGCTCTATGGTGGGGCTGATTAATCCTCGTTTTCTCAATTAAATCCCCGTTAGAAGCGAGCAGTGGATTCACGTTTTGAAAGGCAACCGGATTTGTGGGGGTTCATGCCTGTCTTTATTTTGGGCTGCTCGGGGCAGGGTGACCCGGGGCAGGGTGACCCGGCACAGCCCCCGTGATGTCCCCGTTCCTCCCCCCCGGCGCGTCCCAGCCAAAGTTCTGCCCCGTTTGTGCTGACTCGGCCCCGCCGTGCGGAAACGGCTCCCGCCCCACCTTCCCGTGCTGTCCCGGTCCCGCCCGGGCTCATCCTGCCGCTGCCGGGCGTGCGGCAGTGCCGTGTGCCCCCCGTGTCCCCCCGTCCCTCTCCAGCATGTGGCTGCTGCTCGTCCTGCTGCTGCCGCCCGCGGTCCTGCCCGCCCAGCCCTGCGGTGAGTGCGGCCCCGGGACCCCCGACCCGCCCGGGCGGGCAGAGCCGGGGTGACGAACCCCACCCTGGACACCGGCCCTGCTCCCCGGTCCCGGGGGCCTCGTGAAATCCCTCGGGGATGAACTTTCCAGGGCTCAGCTCCCCCATGAGTCCTGATTCCTGCGTTGCCCGGATTCCTGCCTTCCCTTGCCCGGAGCCAGTCCCTGCCCACCCCTCGGGGGTCCCACAGGGACACTGGGACAGGGGTGTCACTGAGGAGTGTCATGGGGGGTGCCTGGGGACAGGGGTGTCACAGAGCGGTGCCAGGGAGGGGGGCTGTGCCGGGCTCTCTCTGTGTTTCACATCACGGCTCTTCCTTTGTTTCTCCCTCTTTGTTTGTGGGAAATCTCGAGGTGTTGGGGTTTGAGGGGGCACACAGAGGGTGTTGGGTGCCGGGGCTCCATCCCCACGGAGCTGCGAGGGGCTGCAGACACCTCACCTGTGCTCCCTCCCCGGGGGTCGCGGGCAGAGCCCCCCCCGGGGCCGGCGGGGGCCGTGCGGGCGCTGAGTGCGCGGCTGCTGGGGCTGGCGGGGGACCCCACGCGGGACCCCGACCCTGCCGTGTACCTGGGGCTGCGCCTGGGCCGGGAGCACGACCTGCAGCAGGAACAGCGCTACCTGGAGAGGCTGCACCGCGCCTTCCAGCACCCCTACGGCAGGTGGGACATGAGGGGGACACCGGCACCCCCACAGGGACACCGGGGCTCCCCACAGGCCTTTGGGGATGCCCCTGTCCCATACACTGACCCTAAGTCCCCGCAGGAGCGTGCAGGCCCGTGGCTACCCTGAGCAGGATGCTGAGCTCAGCATGTACGTGGGGGTGTCCTGGGGGACAAGGGGTGCCCTCAGGGCAAGGTGACAGCCCCGGTGGTGTCATGGGAGGTGCCCCGAGGGCAGGGTGACACGACCAGCAGGGTCCCGGGAGCCCTGGGACAGGGTGACACCCCCGGTGGTGTGCTGGGAGGTCCCCGATGCCTTGCAGGGGCACGGAGCGGCCGCAGACGGGGCGGCTGGCGCTGTACCTGCTGGGGCTGAGGGCCACCTGTCCCCCACCCAAACCCCACCGGGCGCTGGTGACGTGGCTCAAGTACTACCTGGAAGAGGACTGGAGGGGTGAGTGTCCCCACGGGGTGACCACCCACCTGGGCACCCACAGGGTGGGACCTCGCTCACCCCCAGTGACACCCTCCTTGTCCCCAGGCTCCCAGCGGCACGGCCGCCCCCTCACCAGTCACTACCAGTACGGGCTGGGCGTGCTGGCGCTGTGTGTGCACCACAAGCGGGTGCGGGAGGAGGTGATCCGCCGGCTCCTGGCGGCACAGCACCATGGCCGGCTCGGGCACAGCGCCGTGGGTAAGGCCCGTGGGCACGGGGTGGGCACCGGCGGGGGGTGAGCCCGGGTGACCCCACGGTGTCCCTGCAGACACAGAGGCCGTGCTGGCACTGGCCCTCACCTGCCTGGAGCGCAGGAGGCTGGTGGGGGCCGGGCTGGCGGCCGAGCTCCGGGCCACCGTGCACAGGGTGAGCAGGAGCATGGCCCAGGCTCAGGGACCCGACGGCATCATCGGCAACATCTACAGCACCCCCTGGGCCCTGCAGGTGGGTGTCACCTGAGGGGACTTCTGGGATGGGAGCAGGAATGGGCAAGGGGAGGTGGGACTGCAGGGGCTGATGTGTGTGCTGATGTGGGTGCAGGTACAGGTGTGGGTGCAGATGTGGGTGTAGATGAAGATTCGGGTGCAGAAGTGGGTGCAGGTGCAGACGTGGATGTAGATACAGGTGTGGGTGTAGATGCAGGTGCAGATTTGGGTGCAGATGTGGGTGTGGGCACAGGAGCAGATATGGGTGTAGGTGCAGATGGGTGTGAGGGTGTAGAAAGGTGCAGATGTGGGGTGTAGATGCAGGTGCAGATTTGGGTGCAGATGTGGGTGTGGGCACAGGAGCAGATATGGGTGTAGGTGCAGATGGGTGTGAGGGTGTAGAAAGGTGCAGATGTGGGGTGTGGGTGCAGGTACAGATGCAGATGGTGGTGCCTGGGCAGAGGCAGCTGCCCCAGGGCAGGTGATGCTCAGCCCTCCAGTGCCCAGGTACCCAACCACCTCCCTCCTCACTGCCCCACCACCTCCCTCCTGCTCCAGGTGTTCCTGGCCACAGGCATGTGCCACACGGAGCCAGCGTACAGCCGGGCCATGGCTGCGCTGCTGGAGAACCTGGACGCCTTCGGCACAGCCGCCACCATGGCCCAGGTGCTGCCGGTGCTGCACGGCCACTCCTACCTGGACATCGCCTCCATGAGCTGCCAGGAGGAGCTGGGTACGAGCCGGGGGCAGCCAGGACGGGGTTGGCACTGGTGCCACTGCGGTGGTGGCCGGGTGTCCATCAACGCCACGGTGGCTTCTCACAGACACACTGACACCCCTCGACATGGAGCCCCTGGCTGAGGTGCCGGGGAACAAGACGGTGCGGCTGGTGGTGGAGTGTGCCCAGCCCTGGTGTTTCGACCTGCAGCTCTATGACCGGCAGGTGTCCACGCCCGCCGCCGCCTCTCTGCTGGATGTGCTCTGGGCAGCCAGTGCACAGGATCCCCACTTCACGTATGTGGCTCACCTCGGGTCCCCTGGGGTGGCCACATGTCCTGCGCCCACGCCACGGGCTCACCCTGGTTCCCACCGCCCGGCTCCCCTGGGAGCTGCCCTGTCCCCCTGCCAGCAGTGCCAGGGCTGGGCACTCACCCCCTCACTGCCCTCTGCCACCCCCCAGGTTTGACACCCAGGACACCTCCCAGGGCCCCTACCTGAACCAGGTGCTGGGGCTGGAGGCCCGGCAGGAGAAGCGGAACTACTGGCAGCTCCTGACAGCCCCCAGCACACCCCTGCTGACGAGTGAGTGATGGGTGGGGGTGCCTAGGGAGGCAGTGGGGGTCCCAGGCAGTCCCCACGGCCCCTGGGGCCCCCAGTCTCACCTGGGGTCACTGTCCCTTCCTCTGCAGGTATCGCCGACTACATTCCCCGCGATGGGGAGACCCTCATCCTGCGCCTCAGCGAGTGGTAGAGGGTGGGAAGAGATGGCAATGAAACCTCCACTGTGGGCACAGGACCTGCTTCCTGTCTCCTGCTTTCCAGGGGCCAGCACCCCAAATCTGCCGGGGGGGAGGAGGAAGAGGAGGGGGACACCATGTGCCTTGTCCTACGGGAGCTGTTGGATGGGAGCACCCGGACTGGCAGCTCCTCTGGTCCTGGTGCCTCTCAGGGATGGGGCAGGCAGGTGCTGGGAGCACGGTTTTAGGGCGTCCAAAGCATTTTTGGGATATGCAAAGATTTGGGGAGGCCGAGTCAGCGCTCCTCATCCTCAGAAAGCCGCCAGCTGGGATCACCCTCCTCTGTAACGCCTTGGGGTGTTACAGACCCCCCGCCCCACTGAGACCCCAGGTCCCCCCAGTGCCACACTCAGCGCGAGGGGCACCCCCGGGGTTTAACCCAAGCACCCAGATCACGGCAGGGCAGCGGCAGCGAGCGGGGCCGGGGCCGGTGTCGGGCGGTGTCGGGGCCGGGGCCAGGGGCGGTGTCGGGGCCGGGGCCGGGGGCGGTGTCGGGGTCGGGGCGGTGTCGGGGCCGGGGCCGGGGGTGTCGCCGCGGTTCGGGCTCAGGGGCGATGCCGGTGACGCTCCCGGGCGGGCGGGGCTGAGGGAGCGATGGCGGTCGCTCCGTGAGGGCGGCGGGGGCTGTGGCGGGGCCCGGGAGGCCGCTGTGCTGTCCCGGCGGGGCCGAGGGTCCCCGGCGGGCCCCGCCGCTCCGGGCGGGTCGCTGGGCGTGCCCGCGGTCCCCCCGTGCCCCCAACCCCGCCCGGCCGCCGTGACGCGCGGGGCCCTCACGGGGAGGAGCCTCCGCCCTCCGCTCCCGCCATCACCAAACTTCGCGCTGGTTCCCGGCCGCCGCCGCCTCCTCCTCCCGGCACATGGCCCCGGCCCCGCGGGGCTGAGCTCCGCCACCGCCCGCGGGCGCGGGGACACCGCCGGCAGCGACACCGCCGGCAGCGACACCGCCACCGCCGGAGCGAGCGGTCCCTGCTGCCCGGGCGCGGCGGCTCTCGGCGCGGCGCGGGAGGACGGGGCAGAGCGGCGAGGGGCGGCCGGAGGCGGCGGGGCCGGTGCCCATGTGCCCGCGGTCGCGGCGGGGCGATGAGGCCGCGATGAGCACGGCGGGCGAGGGGACCCTGCGGCCCTGGAAGCCCGACCCGGGGCAGGCGGACGGGGGGCGGCCGCCCCCGCCGGGCCCGGCGCTGCCGCTGACCCTGAGCGTGCTGGCCTGGCTGGGCACCGGCACCACCATGGCCGGCCTCAACAAGTGGATCTTCGCGGCGCACGGGTTCCGCTACCCGCTGCTGCTCTCCTCGCTGCACATGCTGTCGGGGGTGGCCGTGGGGTACCCGCTGGGCTGGGCGCGGGGTGCCCGCTGCCCGCGGCCCCGCGCCCGCATCTACCTGCTCAGCCTCACCTTCTGCTCCAGCGTGGCCCTGGGCAACCTGGGCCTGAGCTACGTGCAGCTGGACGTGGCGCAGGCCGTGGCCACCACCACGCCGCTGGTGACGCTGGTGCTGGGGGTGCTGGGGGGCCGGCGGCCGCACCCGCTGCAGTGCTGGGCCATGGGCCCGGTGTGTGCCGGGGCCGCCTGCAGCATCGCCGGCGGGCTCCGCTTCTCCCAGCCCGGCTGCGGCTTCCTGCTGGCCGCCACCGTGCTCCGCGCCCTCAAGTCCATCCAGCAGAGTAAGTGCCACCTGTCCCTGTCGCTGTCCTGCATGTGCGTCCTCCTCTGGCGCGGCCCCTGGGGCGCGGGGTGGGGGCTGGTGGCACCCCAGTGTCACCGTGGGGCTGGGGACGCTCCCTGCTCGCTCGTGCTGCCCACCCTGTACTGGATGTCATCCTGGTGTCACCCTAGCCCCAGTGCCACCCCAGCCCCACCCCGTCACTGGCGTCACCCCGGTGGCCTCCCGTGCTGGTGACACTCCCTGCCCACCCTGGCCCCAGTGCCACTCCACTGTCACCCCAGCCCTGGTGGCACTCTGGCCTCCACTGTCATCCCCTGCCCCAGTGCCAGTCCCATGCCATCCAAGTCCCAGTGCCACGTGCTGTCCTCCTTGGCCTTGGTGCCACCCTACTGTCACCCCAGTGACATCCCTTGCCCACTCTGTCCCTGGTGTCACCCCAGTGCTGCTCCAGTGACACCCTTGCCCCCTTGGGGCTGTGTCATGTTCCTGGCCCTGAGGTGATGTGACCTCAGTTTGACCTCAGTGATGACACCATTGGTGTCCCTGTGGTGTCCCCTGGCACTGTCCCATGTCCTGGGGCTGTGGGGGCCACAGGGACACCCAGCCTGCCCTGTTCCCATGGGCTCTCTGCCAGCGCTGTGGGCTCTGGACCCCTCTGAGTCCCCCATTCCCAGGGACTCTCCGGTGCCACCCGGGCCACGGTGTCCTTGGCAAGTGGCAGTGAGGAGCCAGCCAGGATGCTTTTGGCTGGGATGGGAGTGTTTCCTCTGGAGCCTGTGACTCAGGGCACTGCAGGGACGGGCTCTGCTGTGGGGCCCTGTGCCCTCCCTGAGGTCCCCGTGGCTGTACCGAGGTGCTGTGGCCCCCCAAGGGACACCCCTGCCCATCGTGCCACTGCCGTGTCCCCTTGTCACCCCCATGGGACATGGACTGTGGCCCTGGGGAGCCTGGGGGCTGTTCTGTCCCCCATGGACACAGCACTGCCCCCTGTGCATGCCTGTGTGTGGCAGCCAACTCTGTCGTGCCTGCTGTCCCCACTGTCCCCGGATGACCCGGAGGGGGGACGTGGGGACAAATGCTTCAAAACAGGCTGGGGAAGCTGCCCTGTCCAACCTTGTCCTGTGGCACCCTGACCCCCAAACCAGGACATCCCTGAACACAGACACTGTCGGAACCAGGGTACCCCCTAAAACCAGGGAATCCCAAAAATGGGGGAGTTCTGAGCTGGGGTGTCTCCTGAACCAGGGCACCTCCAAACCAGGGAATGCTCAAAGTGGGGGACACTCCCCAAGGCAGGGGAGCCCCTGCCTACAGAAGAGACTGTCCCCTCCATTTCCCCTTTCCCAGTGACATTTGGGATTTCTTAAGCACTTGGGCAGCGAGCAGGGACCCACATTGGTGGGTGTTCCCATCTGGGTGTCCCTGTGGGTTCTGGGTGTTCCCCCTGGCTTAGTGCCTCTGTAGATGCTGGGTGGGTGCCGCTGCAGGTGCCGGGTGTCCCCCTGAGTTGTCCCATGCGTCCCCCTGACTGTCCCCTGTCCCCCCAGGTGTGCTGCTGCAGGAGGACCATCTGGACGCGCTGTCCCTGCTCGGCCTGACGTCCCTGCCCAGCTTCGTGCTGCTGTTCGGGGCGGCCGTGGCGCTGGAGCTGGGCCCCTCGTGGCAAGGCGTGCTGCGCCCCGACGCCGCGCTCTGGGGCTGCGTCCTGCTCAGCTGCCTGGGCTCCGTCCTCTACAACCTGGCCACGTCCTGCCTGCTGTCCCTCACCTCCGCCCTCACGCTGCACCTCCTGGGCAGCCTCACCGTGGTGGGCAACCTGCTGCTGTCCCGCCTGCTGTTCGGCACGCGGCTGGGCGCGCTGGGCTACGCCGGCGTGGCGCTGACGCTGGCGGGGATGGTGCTGTACCACCAGCCCCAGCTCCTGGCCGCGCGCTGGCCCCTGCGGGCGCCGCGGCAGCACCCGCACCGCGAGTAGGGCTCGGAGGGTGGAGCGAGGGGGGCTCTGTGTGAGGGCAGGGGCGCTGGGGAGCTCGGCTCAGCGAGCACGTGTGTGTGCTGAGGGGTGCGGTGCTGGGCACATGTGTGCGCCAGTGTGTGTGACACTGCACGTGTGTGCGCCAGTGCGTGTGACAGTCTGTACATGTGGGTGCCAGTGCGTGTGACACTGCACATGGGTGTGCTCCAGTGCGTGACACTGCACGTGTGGGTGCCAGTGCATGTGACACTGCACGTGTGTGTGCCAGTGCGTGACACTGCACGTGTGTGTGCCAGTGCGTGACACTGCACGTGTGTGTGCCAGTGCGTGTGACACTGCACGTGTGTGTGACTGTGCATGTGACACTGCACATGGGTGTGCTCCAGTGCGTGACACTGCACGTGTGTGTGCCAGTGCGTGTGACACTGCACCTGTGTGTGCCAGTGCGTGTGACAGTCTGTACGTGTGTGTGCCAGTGCGTGTGACACTGCACATGGGTGTGACTGTACATGTGTGTGCTGGGGTGTGACACACTGAGCACATGGGTTTGCCAGCGTGCCTGGCTCCGTGTGCCCACCCGTGTGCTGAGGTGCACGGTGCTGTGCATGTGTGTGTGCCCCTGTGTGGCTCTGTGCACGTGTGTTTGCTGGTCTGCACAGCTCTGTGCACGCACCTGTGGCAGTTTGCACAGTTCTGTGAGCACGTGTTTGCCGGTGTGCACACGTGTGTGCCAGTGGGTGTGACCCTGCACATGTGTGTGCTGGTGTGCACAGCTCTGCTCATGTGTGTGCTGATGTACACAGTGCTGTACACTTGTATGTGCCACTATGTGTGGCTCTGTGCACGTGGGTGTGCTGGCATGCACAGCTCTGTGCACACGTGTGTGCTGAGGTGCGTGGTACCATGTCCATAGTGGATGTCCCACTCTGCATGGTTCTGTGTACACGTGGTTTGCACAGCGCTGTGTGCACACGTGTGCCGAGGTGCACGGTGCTGTGCACACATCTCTGTGTGCACGTGTGACAGTGCACAGCTCTGTGTGCACACACGTGTGCCGAGGTGCACAGTGCTGTGCACTGCACATCCCAACTGATGTGTAAGGTGCTGTGCACAGGTGTGTGCTGGTGTGCGCAGCTCTGTGAGCACGCGTGTGTTGATGTGCACACAAGTGTTGTGGGAAGGCTCTGCATGTGCAAGCAGGTCTTGTGCACGTGTGCATTGACACAGACTCCACATATGTGAGTCTGTGCACAGCTCTGCGTGTGTGTGCCACGTGTGTGCTGGTGTGCACAGCTCTGGGTCAGGCAGGTACAGGTGTGCACACAGGCTCTGTGCAGGTACCTGTGTGTGTGTGTGTGTGTGTGTGTGTGTGCAGCTGTGTGCCCCGGCTCCATATGTGTCCCCGTGTGCACACACAGGCTGGGAGCGCTCAGGGACGTGGCTGTGGATACAGGACTCGGTGCATCCAGCTGCTGTCCCGCCTGGGGAAACAGAACTGTCTGTGTGTGTGTGTGTGTCTGTGTGTGTGTGTGTGCATATGTGTGTGTGTGTTCACACGTGTGTGTGTCATTCCTGAGCTCTGCTGGCTGGAGTGGACCCTGGCTGTGTGTACACACTGTTCTCATGGCCGAACAGGATGCCCAGGACAGGGCGTGTGCGTGTCCCCTCCCCTGTCCCCATCCCCACCGTGTCGTGACAATCCCACAGGGCTGCCAGTGGTGCTGCCAGGGTCACCTTTGTCCCAACTGTGCCCTTCCAGTCCCCACAGCTCCGGCCCTGTCCCCATCCCTCCCAGCGTGCCGAGGCAGGCACAGACTGGTATCCGTGGCAGAGATGGCGAGAGCCCAGCCGAGGGGACAGGGACAGCCCAGACCGCCCACCATCGCTCCAGGGCGGTGCCAGGCTGAGGCGTGGGGCGGTGCTGGGCTGTGGCACAGCACACTGACCACGGCAAAGGGACAGCCCTGCGTGTGCTCTGGCACCGCCGGGGGCCGTGGGGGCCATTGCCACGCTCGTGTCTCCGCGCCGGGGCCGAAGGACCCAGCTCCGATTGCACTTGTCCCAAAATAAAGCTCTATTTTTGTCGTACACCACCCTCGGCTCGCGGTGATCTCCTGCCCGAGAGGGAAGGAAGGGAGGAACCACCAAGTGCAGGGGTGGGAAACAGGCATGGAAATGGCTCGGGATGTCCCTGTGGCCGCTGTGTCTGAGGGCTCTGTGCTCCAGTGCAGGGACGGGCGGGGTTTGGCAGCCCCAGGGCTGGCACTGGGACCCCCCAGAGAGAGGTGTGGTGACACCGAGAGGAGTCACTGACCGCATGTCCGGGGCTGGTCCTACTGGGAGCCTCGCCCTGCCCGGCACAGCACTGGAGCATCCTGCTCTCTGAGTCATAGAATCATGGAATATCCTGAAGTTGGAAGGGACCCACAAGGATCATCGCATCCAACTCCTGGCCCTGCTCAGCACAGCCCCAGCAGTCACACCAGTCCGGCCCCTCCAGCGCGGTGACTCACCCACCGCACAAGCACAGCCCTTTTCCCCTGGAAAATCCCTGCTCGCTCCCGCCCTCTTTCCCAAACCGATTTGTTTCCATTATCAGGGCAGGAGTTTTGAGCCCACTTCCAGCAGCACCTGGGGAACGGCTCCTTCCCAGCACGCAGTGAAGGGAGGGCAGCTCTCCGGGGTGTGCCGGAGTGCCACGGCCGGTGCCACCTTTGGCAGGTGCTCCAGGTGTGGCTGGGGTGGTGTCCATCCCAAAAAGGACACAAAGGGCCCCCAGTTATCAGCCAACAGCTCCCGTGCTGGCCAGGAACCTGTTTACTTTCTGGGCTCACATTCCAGAGGCTTTTCCATTGCAGGGAGTGTTGGAAGCCCTTCTGGTTTTCTGGGAGGAGTGGGACCTGCAAACCAGCCACCTGTGGCATCACTGGCTCAGGAGCCCTTCCCCAGGCAATTCCTGCCCATGCCAGCCCCTGGACTCATTTGCTGGCACTGGGTCTGCCCAGATCCTGACTCCATCCACAGCTTTGCCTTTTCCACCCTGGATTCAGCACCTGGTGCTCCTGGTGCCCTACTGCTCCAGGGAGCTGGGCTGGGCATGGGGGTCCCTTGGGCAGCATTCCTGGTGGGACTGGGAGTTGTGCTGCCCACGGAGGGCCTGGCAGTGGCAGGAGGGCTGGCCAGGTGAGGTGACCCTCTCTGCGGGTTTTTCGGGCTGTGATCTCAGCCCGGTGTCATCCCTGTGCTCCGGCCCCAGGAAGGATTGGGTTTCCCACCGGCAGCAGCTGCCCATGTGCTGAGTCTGGCACTGCTCTGGCCAAGCTGGATGAGAGAAAGGCATCCCAGCCCTGGGGGCTTTGTGGAAGGGGAGCAGATGGGGCACCTTTGTGGAGAGCAGCCCCTGGCATGGGGCAGGAGCAGCCCAGCAGGGAATGCTGGGCACAGTCCTCACATGGGCATGGGGAGGGGGACAGCTGGAGGAATGTGTCAGCAGGGTGTCAGCAGGAATGGTGGCACCTCCGTATGCTTGGAGGTGCTGGCTGGCAAGGAATCATGGAATCCCAGGATGGTTTGGCTTGGAAGGGATCTTAAAGCCCGTCCAGTCCCCCTCTCCTGCCACGGGCAGGGACACCTTCCTCTGTCCCAGGTTGCTCCAAGCCCCCTCCAACCTGGCCTTGGACACTTCCAGGGATCCAGGGGCAGCCACAGCTTCTCTGGGCAACCTGGGCCAGGGCCTGCCCACCCTCACAGGGAAGAATTCCTTCCCAATATCCCATCTATCCCTGCCCTTTGGCAGTGGGAAGCCATTCCCTGTGTCCTGTCCCTCCATGCCTTGTCCCACGTCCCTCCCAGCAATGAGTTCCAGGTGAAGCGTGGAAGTCTTCGGTGGGAGAAATTAAAGTGTATGCAATGGGACAGTGTAGTGATGAGAACCAGCCAGGCAGTTTCTTCTGGATCTGCTGCTAAACCACTGCTGAACCTTCCTTGGAGGCAGCGATGGAATGTGCTGGGATGCTGCTGTGAGCCCTTGGTGCAGGAGCAGCGTGTGCCCTGCAGGGGAGAGGAAATCCAGGTGGATTTACTGTGTGCCTGGGAGCACAGGATGGAAATTATCTCTGTTTCAGGACAGGGATTAACTGCTGCCTGTTGGGAGCTCACTGCATTGGCAGGGCAGGATTTGGGATCTGCAGTGGGAGGCAGCAGGGACAAACACTTGCTAAGCTGGGGAGCCTGAGCCAGGAAATAATATCCTTCTGGGATATGCTGGGCTGTGCTCTTAAACCACCCACATCACAGTCCTAAAACTGTGTCAGGGACTGTTGTGGCTCCAGAGATGAAATTATGCCAAAGCCTCTCTTAGGGTGGATGGAAGATTGCATTGTTCCTGGCAGGACAGCCCAGCTCAGGGGGTACAGAGATCTGAGGATGCTTGAAGCAGCTCAAGCCCAGCTGGAGACCAGGAGATGGACAGGATGAGCCTTCCAGCACCACATTCTCTGCTCCAGCACCCACAAAAGCTCTCCAGAATTTTCCCTTAACCATTTTGAGGCAGAGGGGCTTCACTGGTGTCTTCACTGCTCACTCTCTATGTCCCAGGCTCCTCCCCCACGTTGAACAGGCTGTTGGCTGAGTCGCCAAATTTCTGGAGGATGAAATCAAAGCAGTTTGAAGACATTTTTAAAGTCATAGAATCAGAGAATCATGGAATTGTTAAGGTTGGAAAAGCCCTTCAAGACCATTGAGTCCAAATGTTCTCCCAGCACTGCCAATGCCACCACTGAGCCATGTCCCCAGGTGCCACATCCACACAGCTTTGAAAGCCTTTCAGGGATGGGGACTCCAGCCCTGCCCTGGGCAGCTGTGCCAGGGCTGGACAGCCCTTCCAGTGAACAAATTTTCCCAATATTGAACCTGAGCCTCCCCTGGCACAGTCTAAGGCTGTTTTCTCTTGTTTCCTGGGAGTAGAGCCCGACCCCCCACCTGGCCCTACCCCCTCACCTCAGGGGCTGTGGGACCCCCTCAAGCTGAAACCAGAATGAACAGATGGTTTGGTGTCAGTGATGCCAGAGTGTGCCCAGACGAGGCTTCTAGTTCACAGTGACACGATGACTTGGTGCAAGGATTCCCACTGACAGTGCACTTCCTTGGATTGCTCCTATCCTGGCTTCCCAGCCCACCAGGGAATGGGGCTCTTCATGAGCAGCTCACCCAAGTCATAGAATGATGGAATGGTTTGTTTGGGTTGGAAGGGACCTTAAAGGTTGTCTCATTGCAATGCTCTGCCATGGGCAGGGACATTAACCATGGATCTCCCAAGGGAGGCCAAGGCATCTCCTGAAAAAGAATTTGGGCAATCAGGCTGGGGAAAGAAATGGTCAGGACATCTTTGGCTCTCTCCCAGTCAGAGATGCTGGAGCCTGTGCTCTCCATTCCCTCTCTGGAATGCAGCAGATGACGGGACTCTGGGTTGCTGTCTCAAAACTCAAAGCTCTGTCCCAGTAAGGAAAAACAAGTGCTGGTGACACTCCAAGTATCCTGACTCACAGCAAGTTGCTGTCCTGCCTCAGCAGCACAGTTTGTTCTGGAATAAAACAACACTCCCCGAGCACGTGGTGGTCTCAGAGACCCTGTCAGGGACCCAGAACAAGTGAGAAGTGAAAACTGTGCTGATTTTATTTATAGCAAAATTCTGCACTCGCTGGTGTATCTCAATCCCCCTGCACTTCCAGCAGCACAGACTTCAAGCTCCAACCCCTCAGAGGAGTTTATCTTCAGTGCTCTGGCGTGGATCTGGAAGAACTGCTGCTGGTTTTCCCTGGATTTCCTGCCAAGAGGTCACAGCAGTTTGTTGGACTCGGAGCAGCAGCGTTACCCTTCCTTCATTTCCATCAACCCGGGTGCCATCCCTGCTGGAGAGCTGAGCCTCCAGAGCCTGCTGGTGCTGAAGTTTGTGCTGGTCGTGTCCCTGCTCCAGGAGCTGCTGTTGGGCTCTATCAGGGGATGGCAGGATTTGATCCCAGAGAAAACCAACCAAGCCCTGGGCTGATCCCCCAGCGTGGGCAGCAGGACAGGGGGGATTGTGCCCCTCTGCCCCCTCAGGTGAGACCCCCCCTGCTCCAGGAGCTGCCTCCAGCCCTGGGGAACAGCACAGGGAGGACGTGGAGCTGCTGGAGAGAGGCCAGAGGAGGCCACAGAGATGATTAGAGGGATGGAGCAGCACTCCTATGTGGAAATGCTGGGAGAATTGGGATTGTTCAGCCTGGAAAAGAGAAAGCTTCAGGGTGACCTTATTGTGACCTGAAGGAGCCTCCAAGAGAGATGGACAGAGAGTATTGACAAGGGCCTGGAGTGACAAGACAAGTAGGAATGACTTCAAACTGAAGGAAAGTAGGTTTAGATGGGATATTGGGAAGAAATTCTTCCCTATGAGGGGGGGGAGGCCCTGGCACAGGTTGCCCAGTGAAGCTGTAGCTGCCCCTGGATCCCTGGAAGTGTCCGGGGCCAGGATGGACAGGGCTTGGAGCAACCTGGGCTAGTGGAAGGTGTCCCTGCCCATGGCAGGGGGTGGCACTGGATGGGCTGTAAGATCCTTCCCACCCAACCCATTCCATGGCTGTGGTTCTATGACTCTGTGCCCATCAGGGACAGGGAGTGATGCTCCCTCAGGCCACGCAACCCGTGGGGACCTGCTCACCCTGTGTGTCCCCACGCTGTGGATCCCGGGTGCCCTGGAGCCCGACAGCTGGAGATGCAGGGGCTGGGGGTGTCCAGCACAGGGACACACGGGTGCTCCACGTGGGGACAGAGGGAGGTCAGCACCGCCAGGCAGCCGTTGATGCTGGTGCTGGCCCGGTGGGTGCCCGTGTCACCGTGGCAACCACCCCGCCGGGGACAGCGGGCCATGGAGGAGCAGGGCGGGACACGGCCTCGCCTCACCTTCTTCCCACCACCCCAGAGCCGGCGGTTCGAGGGGCCCCGGTGCGGGGCTGGGGCACCCTCACACTGTCCTGGGGCTGGGGGACCCTCATGTGGGACTGGGGGACCCTCACCCTGGGCTGGGGGACCCTCGCACTGGGCTGGGGGACTCCCACAG